AGTAGCCTAGGCTGGTCTCGAACTCCTAGGCTCAAGCAATTGCCCACCTCTGCCTCCCAAAGTGCTAGGATTACAGGCATAAGCCGCAGCGCCCAGCTCCAAATTCACTTATTAATTCCAGCAAATTATTTATAGATTTTTTTGTACTTTCTATGTACACAATTGTGTCATGTGCAAACAATGCCAGTTTTATTTCTTCTTTTCTGATTCTTATCCCCTTTTCTTTATTATATTTATAGAAGTGAACTGTTTGCTATGATTTCTTACCTTGATTTTACAACTGAGTTTTTTTTGGGAAAACAAAAATCTTAGAAAATCTCAGTCTTTTTCATCTTGTGAAAAGTCCTGATATTTTCATTACACAATGAAAATCAGACCTGATGTCAACCGCAAGTGGCCGCAGCATCCCCAGTTGTGGCTCTCTGTTGATACACGTTAGAGCATTTGGTACCTCCTGTAGGAGCAGCCATAGTCCACAGTGCTGTGGAAATGTGCTGGCCATGCTCCAGGGACACTTAGACCCAGAGAAAGCTTCTCTGAAGACCTGCTGTGGCCTACTGGGGACACCTGTTCTTGTTCCCTGAGGAGCTGAGACGATCCCAGAGGGAACTCCAGGAGCTTGCACAATGTGATGAATTTACTAAACCCTTACGCTCATATGGCAGGGCAGCGGGGAAGAGGGACTAGGTGCCAAGCTACCTCTACTGCCTGCTGTTCCTGTTTGTGTAGCAATCCTGAAAATTAACCTGACCCACCTAGGTCTGCGAGGTGAACTCACTGGTGGTCATCATTGGCAGCCAAGCAAATGAAGGCCTTTGGAGGAGTCGCTGTGGTTAAGGGATATGAGTGACTCACAGTGATGTTGCTCATCCTATGACAACCATCGTGTAAATGTCACTTGCGGTGAGGCTATTTGGAAGAAACAGTCTGTGCATTTCGGTGATGCGGAGGAAGTGCCTCACAGGCACAGACTGCTGACAGCTCTCTGCAATAGCATCATGGGTTTTATTCCTAAAATCATAATCCCCCGTGTCACAATGCCACCTGGCATGATCTCAAAGCTTTTCTAGGATTTTCATCTTCCCCAACCAGCTGGGTTTTCTTCTTGGCCTGTGTGCCTGAGGTTCACAAAATAAAGCATTGTGTTTGTCTTTCAGCCACAGCTCTGAGCTGGGTGACAGGCTTTAAGACCCCGTGCATCCAAACTGCCAATTAAAGAGGGTCTGAATGCTCTGTGCTGTGGGGCCTCTCTGGGTTTTTTGTGGTATTATTTGTTAATAAAAGTGAATTATTTGCTATGCAGCATTATTCATAATAGCCAAAAGGTGGAAAGAACCCAAGTGTCCATTACAGATGAATAGATAAACAAAATATCTATATACACACAATGGAATATTATTCAACTACAACAAAAAGTGAAAAAGTAAGGCATGCGGCCGGGCATGGTGGCTCAATCCTGTAATCCCAGCACTTTGAGAGGCCGAGGCGGGTGGATCATGAGGTCAAGAGATCAAGACCATCCTGGTCAACATGGTGAAACCCCGTCTCTACTAAAAATACAAAAAATTAGCTGGGCATGGTGGCACGTGCCTGTAATACCAGCTACTCAGAAGGCTGAGGCAGGAAAATTGCTTGAACCCAGGAGGCAGAGGTTGCGGTGAGCCGAGATCGCACCATTGCACTCCAGCCTGGGTAACAAGAGCGAAACTCCGTTTCAAAAAAAAGTGATGCATGCTACAACATGGATGAATCTTGAAAACATTATGCTAAACGAGAGAAACCAGACACAAAGGTCACACATTGTATAGCACCATTTATGTGAAATGTCCGGAAAGGCACATCTAAAGAGACAGTAAGTAGACGAGTGGCTGTCTGAAGATAGAGAGGGAGAAACTGGGAGTAATGGCTACTAGGTACGGGGACTCATTTGGGGAGGTGGAAGTATTTGAAATTAGATCATGGTAATGGTTATACAACACTCTGAATATATTAAAACCACTGAATTATACACTTTATTTATTTAGTTATATTTTATTTATTTATTTATTTAGACAGAGTCTCACTCTGTTGCCGAGGCTGGAGTGCAGTAGCACGATCTCAACTCGCTGCAACCTCTGCTTCCCGGGTTCAAGGGATTCTCCTGCCTCAGCCTCCCAAGTAGCTGAAATTACAGGCACATGCCACCATGCCCGGCTAATTTCTTGTATTTTTAGTAGAAACAAGGTTTCGGCATGTTGAGCAGGCTGGCCTGGAACTCCTGGCCTCAAGTGATCTGCTGGCGTCAGCCTCCCAAAATGCTGGGATTACAGGTGTTAGCCACCGTGCCCAGCCTTGAATTGTATACTTTAAAATGGTGACTTTTATGTTACACGGATTTTAACTTAATTTAAAAAGCAAATTATTTGCTATCAACTTATTTTTCACATTGAAAATCAAACATCAACATTACCCTGACACCTGACTCTGACAGCCCAGGGAACTGCTGGGGGACCATGCAGCATTGGGGCTGGTTTCCACATGAGGTGGGTGGAATTAGCCTTTACATAATCCCACCTCTGTATACGGCCATATCCATGGTTACGAGCCACATCAGGGAATTTCATTCTCTGCTTCAATTTCATATGGTTAATAAAAATGGCGTCTGTGTGTGGCAGTCCATGTTGCCTTGGCAAGACCACGAGAAGGGGCACGCAACTCTGGCCTCTCCATGTCAGGGGCCATCCAGGAGCCTTAACCCACAAAGCACACACTCCTGGTACCAGCACTGCAGGGGCAACGGCGTTTCAGCTTCAGAGTGAGTTTCGCTTTCTCAATGCAGAAGGTGGGTACCAGGTGATTCCAGGAAGGGGTCACAAATCTCCACCCCGCCCCCAGAGAGCAAGAGCAAAAGATGAAAAACTCCCTTCCATTCAATTAGTTTCCTTTCAAGGATCAGAGCCTGGCTGGCAGGCGGAAAATTCCACACTCAAGTGAAACAAAAGGGAGCCAGAAAGGAGGGCAGATAAAGGGCATAACACCCTCCCTGCACTCTTCTTTGTACAGAAGTGAGTTCTGACTTCCCGAAGTCCCAGTTAGATCTCAATGGGCTTACATATGGCATAGAGAGGAGCCAGGTCTATTTTGGTGCTCCCTTCATCAGAAGATGTACACCATGGGGTGGGAAGGGCAATTTCATTTGATAACTAGCCAGTGGCAGTGAAAAGGCAATGAAACACATCATGAGAAAGTCACTTTCTTTTTTTTTTTTTTTTTCCCGAGACGGAGTTTCGCTCTTGTTACCCAGGCTGGAGTGCAATGGTGCGATCTCGGCTCACCGCAACCTCTGCCTCCTGGGTTCAGGCAATTCTCCTGCCTCAGCCTCCCGAGTAGCTGGGATTACAGGCATGTGCCACCATGCCCAGCTAGTTTTTTGTATCTTTAATAGAGACGGGGTTTCACCATGTTGACCAGGATGGTCTTGATCTCTTGACCTCGTGATCCACCTGTCTTGGCCTCCCAAAGTGCTGGGATTACGGGCTTGAGCCACCGCGCCCGGCTCGAGAAAGTCACTTTCTTTTTGACTATTAACCTGGTTCCAACAAGGAGAAAGGCTCAACTCAGAGCTGCTACATCTTTCACACTGCTCATGCTTTGTAACAAAATAAAAGGAGACTGAGAGCCCTTTGTAGGCAACAGTATCTAGGCTACAATTTAACAAGACTGTTTAATGTCATTTTGTTTATTTTTACTTTTTGATATAAATTTTATCTATGGCAAGCTTTCCACTTAAGGGAGTGATTAAGGGAGTGATAATTATATCACTTTTTAAGCAATTGATTTAAGGATTTTTTTAAAAAAAACATGGCTCACTCTAAAGGAAATACAAAAGAAAAGGACAGGTGGTATCCAGATAGGGCAAGAATAATAACAGTGGTCCAAGAATGACATATTCTGGAAACTTCTTTTCCTTTCTGTTACTTCTTTACTAATGAATACTTATAGAACAACTCTAAAAGCATTCTGTCCTACACATGCCATCTCAATGGTTCTGCTCTTTCCTGTTCATTTTGCAGTGACATTGCTGCACCTGTCAGGACATCACAGGGTCAGAACGCAATGATCAAGTCCAGGCATGGTGGCTCACGCTTATAATCCTAGCACTTTGGGAGGATCACTTGAGGTCAGGAGTTCAAGACCAGCTTGGCCAACATAGCAAGAGCCTGTCTCTACTAAAAATACAAAAATTAGCCAGGCATGATGGCACATGCCTGTAGTTCCACCTACTCGGGAGGCTGAGGCAGGAGAATCACTTGAACCCAGGAGGTGGAGGTTTCAGTGAGTCAAGATCATGCCACTGCACTCCAGCCTGGGTGACAGAGGGAGACTATGTCTCAAAATAAATAAATAAATAAAAAGAATCCAATGATCAAGAAGATACCAAAGCAGTTGCCATAAAAATGTACAATCCTCCTTGCTTGACGACAGAATCACTGACTTTGGGAATGTGGGTGGGGAAACATGCTATCAGAAACCTGAAAGGGTTAGGCATGATGGCTCATGCTTGAAATTCCAGTACTTTGAGAGGCCGAGGTGGGAGGATCACTTGAGGCCAGGAGTTCAAGACCAGCTTAGCCAACATGGCAAAACCCCATCTCTATTAAAAATACAAAAAACCAGCTGGGCATGGTGGCACACACCTGTAAAATCCCAGCTACTTGGGAGGCTGAGGAAGGAAAATTGATTGAACCCAGGAGGTGGAGATTGCAGTGAGCCAAGATCACCCCACTGCACTACAGCCTGGGTAACAGAGCACAACTCTGTCTCAAAAAAAAAACCTTAAATAACGGATCTGATCTGGTAATATTCTTCAAGAACAGTCCTAAAATTCAAAAGAGGATGAGTACCTTTTAACTTTTCTGTATGTCTGAACTATTTCCTAATAAAATGTTGGACAACAACAACAAAAAGAACAAGCAGATATTATGATACTCTTGAAATCATCAATTATAAAACTGGCTTACCAATAATAGATTCTTATCAGTGCTGAAGGCCACAGGAGAAATGAGGCTACGAATGCCAGGATAGGGATGGCCAGTGTCCCGCCCGCAATCACAAACATGTTAACCACATCAAGATCCATCCTGCTCTTTCAGGCTGGCTGACACCTGCAGGGGCCAAAGAGAATGATGATATTAAAACTCTGTCTCAAGGGAAAAGAGGCAAAGAAGCAAAGGGGACAAGAAAAGTGAAGTTCCCAGAATGAAGGTAAAGATCGGGAGGAAAGCAAAGCAGGCAAATGCTTTAAAAACAAACAAACAACAACAAAAACAAATAGACGTGACAACTAAAAGTAATAAGGAATTTTTCAGAGGAGCCTGGATTTATAAAAAATACTATTAAGGACATTGTTGGCACAAATGTGGAAATCTGAGTAAGGACTGGGTATTAGACAACATCATTGTATCAGTGATGCAATTCTTGACTATGATGATGAGAATGTGGTCATGTATGTATGTAGGAGAATACCTTAGCTCTTAGGAGATGTCTGCTGAAGTTGTAAGGGGTAAAGTATAATGTTATCTGCTACTCACTTTAAAACATTTGTGAAAGAAAAAGTAATACGTGTGTGTTTGTGTCGGTGGGAAGAAAGGAAAGAGAAATAAAACAAATATGGTAAAATGCTAACCACTGGGGAATCCAGGTGAAGGTTACATGATATTATCCTTTCAATCTTTCTGTAGGCTTGCAATTTTTAAAAATAAAAAAGGACAGGTTGGGCATGGTAGCTCATGTCTGTGATCCAGCACTTTGGGAGACTGAGGCAGGAGTATCACTTGAGTCCAGGAGTTTGAAGCTGTAGTAAGCTATGATTGCACCACTGTACTTCAGCCTAGGCAACACAGTGAGAGACCTCTTTAAAAAAAAAAAAAAAAAAAAAAGACAGAGACTTTTAAAGAAATCAATGAACATGTACATGTACACATGGATATGAGAAACCATTAACAGTGATTCCATTTAGGGTGGGGAATTAGATAGCTAAGTGTCAGGAATAGACAGGAAACTTGTTTTTCATTTTTTAAAACTTTTAAGTTGCTATGTAAATATATAACCTGTGTGAATTCACTCAAGGTAGTAACAAAAAATATTAAGGGAAAATAGTACAGAAAGTTACAGAATAAAGTTTCAAACCCGTTTTCATAGTTTCAGTAGAAGTTTTGGCTAAATGGAGCCTAAATCCCCTTTACATTTAGTTAATAAGTAAAACAAATAGCTCAAGTATGTGAAAGAGTTTACCTAACTAACTTGTTTACTCATGTAGTCTTAAAACTAACCTTGAAGCCAGATGGTCCTCTCAAGAGGAAGCTGACCAAGGATATACCCTCTAATAGTGTTTGATTTATGCATCAGAACCTGTGCTTTAATCTTCACTCTAGTAGTGCTGACTCAAGCACTACTTTACTAAATAAATGTAAAGTTTAAGTCAATTAAACTTTACTAAATAAATGCAAGTTTCACTGGCTGGGGAGGGCTGGTAATCACAACTGTTTATAGCACTCTCTAAGGAGTCTGTAAGAAGCTGCACAGACCCTCAGCCGAACTAGCAAAGCATAATATCTGTGTGTCAGTGTACTTTATTCATCCGTTGCTGAGTCAAGGTCTGCAAGACAGACCCCCACAGGTAGTGACCCTGACAGTGGCACCCAAATGTAGGGCAACACTGACAATCACCAATTCAAAAAATAAACACATGATAAAAAGTTAGGGCGGGAATAAGCCAAAAAGGTAGTATTCAGTGTACTTTCTGATGTCCTCCTAAAGACTTACACATCTGTAGACTAGAATGTGGGATGCATGAGAATGAGGACTGGGTGTCCCTAGCACCAAGACTATGACCTAACACATAATAGATGCACTAGAATCCCAGATGAATCAGAAGCCATGCCCTGCCCTGTCTTATGAGCTTGCAAACAGTTCATTCTAGCATGGAATGAAAAATACTTCAGGCTGGGTGCCATGGCTCATGCCTGTCATTTCAACAATTTGGGAGGCAGAGGTGGAAGGATCACTTGAGGCCAGGCATTCAAGACCAGCCGGGGCAACATCACAAGACCTCATCTCTATTTTATGTGTGTGTGTATGTGTATACACATATATATGTATACACACACACATATATATCATAAAATATACAAATATAAATATATAATAACATAATATATATTTCAAGTGCCATGATTCTCCCCAATACACAAAATACCTGGAAGGACCTGTAAGCCAGGTGTGGCCCTCTGCCTTGATTCCTAGCCATCTGTGCTAAGTGTGCAGGATTTCTTCAAGAAAAAGCATTAACATCTAACAAATCATGGCTTCCCTTATATTTCCTGGGAAATGGAGCAATCTCTCCCATATGCTTCTATCAACTGATACTTAATTCAATTTTATAACAAGTTCATGGCAGCACAGTATAATCTCATATCCACTGAGCACAAGCGTCAGCATGCTTTTTCTGTAAAGGCCAGACGGTGACTGTTTCAGCACTGTGGGCCACAGAATCTCTATCACAGCTGTTAGCAATCTGACACTGGATGAGAGACCAGCCATTGAAGATACGTAACGAATGGGTATGACTATGTCCCAATAAAACTTCACAGAAATAGGGTGTAGGCCAAATTTGGCCTGTAGGCTGTAATTTGCCAACCTTTGATATAGTACATCAGCCCTGTCACATAGGAAAGGCAGGTGTTTCTTCCTGTTTTATAGGCTGAGGAAACTGAGGCTCTGAGAGGCTAAATAACTTGACAAAGGTCACACAGCTTGTAGTCATGATTACAAAACAGGTTTCTAACTCCAAGCCTTTGCCCCAAGCTCAACTTTGTCTATTTTTTATATTTTTCAAATGGCCTTTCCTCAGTCTCTGCAACCTCTTTGCTGTTAGGTATCTACATTCATCATCCCTAATTTCTCCATGAAGCTCTCCATCTTCAAGTGGTTTTGCCTAGCAAGTACTTTCCAGCCTAAAGAAGGAGACAGATGCATCCATAGGTGGATTAGATGGTTCTTTTCATTACATACACATATTCTGAGTGCAGTCCTGAGTCTACAGTGATGAAACCTGCCACCTTCCCAGGGCATAAGCACTGTCTGTCTCTGATGCAACTGCCCTCTCAGTTTTTTAGTCACTATAAACAATTTTCCCAGCACATTTAAATCCCTGAATGATTCACTTATTTAACACTGGCTACAATTTACCCTGCTAAAAGGCATCACCATCAAGGGGTAAGCAAGTTAATTGTAGACTGAAGGGAATTTGTACAGATCTGTTTGAACACCGTGGGCTGTGAATGAGTTGACAAAGATAGGAACTGTCAACTTTGAGAAGACTTTTCCACATCATACAAAGTCTTTAAAAACTGCTGAGGGCCACTGTGAATTATTACTGAGCAGCAGGGAGCCCTTTGGACTAAGAATTAAACCAGTTTATGTCCAAAGCCATATAATATCATAGACTCTGACACTGGAGATGATAGCCCCAAAATGAAGGCATGATCATTACAAAACAAAAACAAAACCCTCTCTGCTCTGTCAGTGCCTGCCATGATGCCACAGTCAGTTTCAGCAAAGGTTTCATCTGGCTCCATCTTCTGTTTAATAAAGTCTTCCATAAAGAGCTTTTGTAGAACGTGATCAATTTAGCAATGTTTGGACTTATTACAGAAAACCCTGCACACTCTCCCTGACAAGGTCAAATCAATCCAGACCTTAATTGAAGAAACCACAATTCTGAGTTTTCTGTACAGATAAAGAGTAGGCAATTTATTCCTATCTCTACAACATCCTTCATTTTACAAAGGACTTGCTTTAGCTTTCCTTTAAAAAGACAGCTCCCCTGCCATACTGGTGTTTATTTCTAGAATACTCTATGTACCTAGGGGAGAGGCTGGAAGCAGAAAAACTGAAGCATTAAGAACCAGGAACTGCCAATGGCCAAGAATCAGAGCTCAACTAAGAAGTGTAACTTGAGTTTCCCAAGGCATGGGACCGATACAACTGAGAGTTTGCAAGATGACTTTAGCAAGCAGGAGTACTAAAGAATGCTTCAGGGTCACACAGCATTAGATAACACTGACATATATACTAGGAAAGTCATCCTTTTCAGTCCTACTTGGGTCAAAGAGAAACTCTCAGTGTGGTGGTGGTAAACAGCCCTCTAGGCTGGGCACAGTGGCTCATGCCTGTAATCCCAGCACTTTGGGAGGCTGAGGTGGGTGGATTGCTTGAGCAGAGGAGTTTGAGACCAGCCTGGGCAACATGGAGAGACGCCATCTTTACAAAACATATAAAAATTAGCTGGGCATGGTGGCATGCACCTGTGGTCCCAGCTACTCAGGAGGCTGAGGTGGGAAGATCACTTGAGCCTGGGAGTCTGAGGTTTCAGTGAGCTGAGAATGCACCACTGCATTCCAGCCTACGCAACAGAGGGAGATTATCTCAAAAAAAAGAAGGGGGAAAAAAGAAAGTCAATTTAAAGAAAAATGCTCAGTAGGTGATACATGAATCTAGCAAAAATCGTGATGGTTACACATGAATGGCTGCCACTGAGGGGCAAACTCGTGCGATAAATAGAACCAGGCTGGGGCACCAGTGTGGCAGCTGGCCCTCTCCAACCTGGCTCTTCCACGCATCAGCTGGGAGACCTTGGCTTCCTCATCTATTTAATGAGAACATTCAGATAGTCACGTCTGTTCTTTCTTACTTTGGTTATTTAAACATTTCTGGAATTATGACAGGCAATTAAAGAGTAGGATTTGGCTCGCCCCCACAAGCATCTTCTTCCCTATTAGAGCTTCCAGAACCTAAAACATCACCTGGCAAAGACTTGGTGCTTGATCATGTTTATCGCCTGACTGAATAAACTGAAAAACAAAACATTTTATCTATTTATCGTGTCAAGTGAGGCACCCGAGGGTTAAAGAGAGAGATCAGTGGCCCTGTGGCACAATGTGAAGCAGACAATGCCAGGAAGGAGAGCTGGTCACGATGACACCAGTGTGCACGATGGCACACTCTCACATTCCAGGCTCAGGGTCCTCTGCCACTGGTTAACACCCAAGCTGTGCATTTGGAGGCTCTTATGTCTGAACACAGTGGCAAAGATTAACTGGATAGGGGACATGTCAGTGGATCCAGATAAACATTGCATCAAGGAAATGAAGTTTAATCCGGGGTTAGGAGTAAGGCACATCTTACAATTTTCTTTTAATGTTCTCACTGATTTTGAAAGGTGGGATCTTGAGTTCCGATATCTTAATCTTAAGGGGATAAAGTAAACTCCAAGAATAAACAATGTAAAACACTTTCATATAATCTCATAGACACATCTCTCCTTGCTTCTCCTGACTTACTGATTTTTTTTTTCTTTTTGAGATGGAGTCTTGCTCTGTCACCCAGGCTGGGGTGCAATGGCAGTCTCAGCTCACTGCTACTTCCGCCTCCTGGGTTCAAGCAATCTCCTGACTTAGCCTCCCAAGTTGCTGGGATTACAGGTGTCTGCCACTATGCCTAGCTAATTTTTGTGTTTTTAGTAGACACGGGGTTTCACCATGTTAGGCTAGTCTTGAACTCCTGACCTCAGGTGATCTGCACACCTTAGCCTCCCAAAGTGCTGGGATTAAAGGCGTGAGCCACCACACCCAGCCGACCTACTGATTTCTGCCGACAGTAACTGCATCAGTCTAACCTCCTAGATGCCAATGCATCTTTCATTGTCCTACTTGCTCACCACTTCTATTAGGCAAAGGTGAAGAGGTACCAGCACTGGAATCAACTTGTCCAAATCTAAACAAACTACACTGCCCAATATATGGCAATTTAAATGTAAATTAATAAAAGCCAAAGAAAATTCAAACCTCAATTCTTCAGTCACACCAGCCACATTTCAAGTGCTCAACAGCTACATGTGGATAAGCACTACCATATTAGACAGCACAGCTTTAGGGGACTTATACCCCTAAACACCAATCCCTTAGGCCCGTTGGGTTCAACATTTACTAGGAATGTAAGGTAAGAAGAAAAATTATCACCAGGTGTGGAACTTTGTAAGTCAGACCACAGCTCCCCTCAGCCCCCACACTGGCTCCAGGTCCTCCTTTTCTCACCCTTTTATTTCTATAAAGGCTGTTCTTTCATGATCCATAGTCCTCCCACCATCAGCTGCCAGAGGAATCTCCTGAATTCACACCAGGGATCAGGCTGTGCTGGTCTCATGTCCGCCAAATAAAATGTGAACTCTGACCACCCTATGTGGTCCCAGCTCAGCTTCCCAGTCTTGACTCCTAGTATTTGCCTGCACTCCAAATAGGCAGTTCCCAGCCCCCAGGCAAGCCCTATACAGCTTCATTGTGTCTTCCTGATGAGCTGCCTGATGAGCTCTTCTCTGCCTTCAAGGCCAGGACAAGTGTCCCCTTGCCAAGAAAACATCCGGCCCATGAGTGCGTGCCTTCCAGACCCCTTTCAAATTCAGAGCCAGGTTCCCCACATATTCTTTCAGAACTATTTGTAGGGGGCTTTTAGGGTATGCATCAGAGCTTTGAAAACCTCCACATGCTGAATCCCTTCCCACTAGACCTGATCAGAGAAATCAGGCAGCACAGTTTGGCCTGCTGGGCTTACAACAGCAGTCCCAGTCTCATTAAAGGCGGCCTCTTGGGGGAAATCTATGGTGGTAAAAATCCATACTCACTCTTCAAAGAGCACAGCCTTCTTTCCCAACTGCTACTGGCTCTGGCAGGAGCTGAAAATGAGATTCTGGAATCACACAAAATAAAATGACAAAGCATTAACTTATACTAGGGAATATGAATGAGGTGCTAACAGCTGGCCAGACTGCCAGCTTCAATGAAGGTGGAGCACTCTCTTTCTCAGTACAAAGTACAAATAGCTTGTGGCTTTACAGGACACCTCTTGTTCAGGTCACCTCCCCCAATAAGGCAATTAGGCAAACGTGCACAAACAGCAGGCATCTCAGATAACAAGTCAGGATTATAAAGGATTGAAGGAGGTCAAAGAAGAAATCTGGTGAGTAGCCAGGCCTAGAATGCGCTGCACGATAGTTAAAGCTCTCCTCCATCGCGATTAGGGCTTACCTAAACTGTTCAGAAAGGAATGGAAGCAAAGCAGCAACCAACGGGCAAGTGAGGATGATACTGTTACCAGAGTGACAGCACTGGTACAGTCAGGGGCCTGCACAGCTCCAAAACTGGGGGCTGGGCAGAAGCAGGGAGGTGCTACAACTGCTCAGCAGCAAGAGAATGAGACGAGCAAAGGAAACGAAATCAGCAAAACCCCTCAATTGTTTCAGATGAATCAAAGTGTTAAGTATAAAAAATAAAACCATCATCTGGGCGCAGTGGCTCATACCTATAATCCCAGCACTTTGGGACGTCAAGGCGGGCAGATCACAAGGTCAGGGGTTCAAGAACAGCCTGGCCAACATAGTGAAATGCTGTCTCTACTAAAAATACAAAAATTTGCTGGGCTTAGTGGTGGGCGCCTATAGTCTCAGCTGCTCAGGAAGCTGAGGCAGGAGAATGGCTTGAACCCGGGAGGCGGAGGTTTCAGTGAGCCGAGATTGTGCCACAGCACTCCAGCCTAGGCAACAGACTGAGACTCTGTCTCAAAAACAAAAACAAAAACCATTAAGTTCTAAAAAAAAAACATGAGAATTCTATTTTTAAAGTATCTCCATAGAAAAGGGCTTTCTAAGTAATGTCTAACATCCAGAGGCCATAACAAAAGGATTATTAATTGCATTAAAAAGTGTCTAAATGTCCACATGGAAAGAGATACCATAAATAAGAATAAAATTTGTAAATATGTATCAGAGGAAACATAGTAATTTCCTTAATGCATAAAGCGTTCCTACAAATCAAGACCACCACCAACAAAACCTAATAGAAAAATGAGCAAATGATCTGAACAGATAATTTACCAGGAAGGAAATACAAATGACTCTTAACTATATAAAAAGATGCTCAATCTCATTTATAATAAGAGACATGCAAATTAAATCTACAGGGTGATGGTGATCTTTCTTTATCATACTGGCAAAGAATAAGAAGTTTAATACAGACGGTGCTGCTGAGGCTATGGAAAAAGATGCTCTCATATAATGTACCAATTTGCATTCTCATCAGCAAACTCTACAGATGGCAATTTGGCAAAATCTGTGGCTGTGTAAAATGCACATATCCTTGACCTAATGATCTTCTCTTCTTCTAGGACTTTATCTATTTTATGCCTGATTAGGTGTGAAAATGTTTGTGTAAGAGTATTACAATAGTATTCACAATGACAAACGATTGGAAATAATTCACATGCTCACATATAGTAAACTTATAGTTAAGTAAATGATGGTATAGCTTTACAAAGAAACACATATGGCCATTAAATACAAATAGAAATTAAATATAAACCCTTTATGTAATGAGACAGTCCTATTTGTCCCTATGGGTAACAACTTCCAAGGTACATTACCTCAAAAAAGCAAGGAACAGAAGAATAAGAGTAATACCTCTAACACTGAAAAACAGAGAGTGAGAGAGAAAATATATTTGTTATGCTTACGTGTGTGTGAAATCCTTCTGAACGAACACAAAAAAAACTGCCCACGGTTATGGTTAGCACTGGAAGGGAAACTGCAGGGCTGGGGACAAAGATGAGAGGGAGACTTTTCCCTGATACCTTTTTTCCCTTTTGAAGTGCTACCATGCGTATATTTAATTAAAACCTACAATCTAGTTTGGGCACTGTGGCTCATGCCTGTAATCCCAGTACTTTGGGAGGCTAAGGTGGGAGGATCACTTGAGGCCAGGAGTTCAAGACCAGCCTCGCCAATAGGGTGAAACCCCAACTCTACTAAAAATACAAAAATTAGCCAGGTGTGGTGGTGTGCGCCTGTAGTCCCAGCAATTCAGGAGGCTGAGGCATGAGAATCGCTTGAACCTGGGAGGTGGAAGTTACAGTGAACCAAGACCACCACTGTACTCCAGCCTGGGTGACAGAGCCAGACTCTGTTCCTTATTCCTGCCCTAATTGATAAGGCCATTGGACTTTGTAACTAACCTTGACTCCATACCCTATGACCCCCCACTCCCAGCTTGCAAAAAACTACCCGCTCCAAACCTATAAAACCAACTCATATCCCACCACCCTTTGCCGATGCCCTTTTCAGCCTCAGCCCACTTGCACCCAGGTGAATAAACAGCCATGTTGCTCACACAAAGCCTGTTTGCAGGGGGCAGGGTCCTCTGCATTCAGCACGTGTTTTAACACTAGTCACATAGGGCTGCTTAAAATTAAATTGAAATTAAATAAAATTAAAAATTTGGATCCTCGGCTGCACTAGCCACATTTCAAATGCTCAATAGCCACCTGTAGTTTGTGATTATCATACAGGACAGCAGAAATATAAACATTTCCCTTACCACAAAAGTTCTACTGGCCCATCCCGGACTCTACACTAGTTCAAGAGGCCAGGCACTGTGACTCACACCTATAATACCAGCACCTTGGAAGGTCAAGGCAGGAGGATCACTTTGGGCCCAGGAGTTTGAGACAAGCCTGGGCAACATAGCAAGACCCCATCTCTACGAAAAATACAAAAATTAGCTATGGTGGTGCATTCCCGTAGTCCCATTTAGAATCACTTGAACCCAGGAGGTAGAGGTTGCAGTGAGCCAAGATCATGCCACTGCACTCCAGCCTGGGTGACAGAGTAAGATTATGTCTCAAAAAAAAAAAAAAAAGGCCAGGCGTGGTGGCTCATGCCTGTAATCCCAGCACCTTGGGAGTCTGAGGAGGGCGGATCATGAGGTCAGGAGTTCGAGATCAGCCTGACCAACATGGTGAAACCCTGTCTCTACTAAAAATCATACAAAAATTAGATGGGCATGGTAGGGCATGCCTTGTAATCCCAGCTACTCAGGAGACTGAGGCAGGAGAACCTGGGAGGCGGGGGTTACAGTGAGCCGAGATGTCGCCACTGAACTCTAGCCTGGGAGTCAGAGCAAGACTCCATCTAAACAAACAAAAAATGTCCACTAGAGACAGCCACCAAACATTAACTGCTTCCCATTATAAGGGGAAAGAATACAAATGTGAATGCTGGAAGGATAGCAGATGAAACTCCCTCCATCTCCACACATTCTACGCAGCCTAGCAGCCCACTCTATTAACATTCAGTGACTGGGGACTACTGCCTACGTGACTGTCCAAAGTTCATGCCACCACAGCAGGAACTTTCGTCCTTAAGACTCCAAGTCCAGTACTCTTAGATAGAAAATAGGAATTTGTCAAATGATAAATGTTATCATTCTAACCTGGAACCACATGACCATCCATAAACCATACATTCTTATCTCCTTAGTGGTTCTGGGAGAGGTACTGATTAGATGGTTCGCTCTCTCCTGCTTCGCACCAAAGCTCAGACAACTGGTTCCTCATGGGGGTTCTTGTTGAAGAACCAGCCCAGCCCACAGTCCCCTCCCTGCTTTGGCCACCTGGGCAGCACTGTGGGAAAGAGAATTCAGCCCAGCCAGGCTGGTCTTGTGGGTGGAACCAGAAAGCCTCGCTACCTGATCCTCTAGAGAAGTGATACCCAGAGGAGGGACAGGCAGGCAGATCAGTCCGAGGCTCAGCTGGAAGGCAGGGGGGTTGTGCATCCTGTGGTACAGCTTTTAACAAATCAGATTGGCCAAGAAGCAAGGCGATGAAACATGTCACACATGCCCTGACCTCAACCAGCAACATCAGCCTCTGGTCAAGAGGTGCGCTGTGGTGATAGCCCGGAATAACCGCTTGTTTGAACATGTTTAAAACGAGACAACCCGATAGGATTATAAGCCAGTCTCCTGCTGGATGAAACAGGAGCCAAAAGCCACTTGACTCTTTACCTTCAAGAAACCCAGTCTTCAGGCACTAGTGGAGCCCACAATAGGCTTTGAACATTTCTCACTGAATTAGCATGAATACACAAACTGTCATCAGCCAGGTCACCCCTCAAAGGTAAAGTGCTAGAAAGAGCATCATGTAAGTGACTATTTGCCACATAACTGACAGGAATTAAAATAGCCCTCTATTGGTGTGCTATACAGCAGGGGGCAAAAACAGAACCTCAGCACCCAAAATATTCTCCGTTGTCCACACTTGTACTTTTAGACAAGAGGAAATAAATAGGCTGGGCGCAGTGGCTCACACCTGTAATCCCAGCACTTTGGGAGGCTGAGTCGGGTGGATCACCTGAGGTCGGGAGTTTGAGACCAGTCTGACCAACATGAAGAAACCCCATCTCTTCTAAAAATACAAAATTAGCTGAGTGTGGTGGCACATGCCTGCAATCTCAGATACCTGTGAGTCTGAGGCAGGAAAATCGCTTGAGCCTGGGAGGCAGAGGTTGAGGTGAGCCGAGACCACGCCACTGCATTCCAGCCTGGGCAACAAGAGCAAAATTCTGTCTCAAAAAAAAAAAAAGAGGAAAAGCAGGTAGATCAAAGATGGTTTTTTTTTGGAAACAGAGTCTCTCTCTGTCACCCAGGCTAGAGTGCAGTGGCATGATCTCAGCTCACTGCAACCTCTGCCTCCAGAGTTCAAGCAATTCTCCTGCTTTAGCCTCCCCAAGTAGCTAGGATTACAGATGTGAATCACCACGCCGGCTAATTTTTGTGTGTTTAGTAGAGACAGGGTTTTGCCATGTTGGCCAGGCTGGTCTCGAACTCCTGGCCTCAAGTGATCCACCTGCCTTGGCCTCC